TGAGCCCAAGCTGAGCCTGGGCCTTTGAAGAGACAGCAGGCAGCAGGGCTGAGCCTGCATCACATCTTTGTGATTTAATTTTCCAGAGATTAGGGCCCGTTCACCTTCACTGCGGAAGGAGCCTTGCGTGCCTGTGCCTGTTTTCACTCCAGGGTTGGATGGATGGTCGTCAATCAGGCTGGTTCTGCCAGCCCTTCCTCTCTCCCCCGCAGAATGGCCCTCCTCCATCCAGGGGCCCCCGTCATCCAGCATCCGCCCACATCCGCCCCAGGCCCCTTTTAGCCTATCAGCCCCCAGTGCACCCCTTATATCTCCTTTTCCAAAGGCCTCACCTTCAAGTTTAAGGATGAATGCAGGGAACAGAACTGCACAAAGGCTGTGACCTAAAGCAAGGGCTTTGGATCAGACAGACCCAGTTCTGCCACATGGCTTAACCTCTCCGGCCCTCAGTGTCCTGTCAGCCCAATGGAGATGATCAGAAGGGACCCTCCCCAGGGGTCCTCAGAGATTAGTGAGGTCAAATGTGTAAAGCACCTGCCCCAAGGCGGCCAGAGCCAACACTCAACAGCACAGAAAGGCTGTTCCTGTGGCCTCCTTGGTCCCTCCTCCGTCATTTTCCCTCCTCTTTTTTTCCCTCCTCCCTCTCCTTTCCTCTCCCCTCCCACCTTCCCCCTTGCCCTGGGCAGGTTGGGTCCTGGCTAAGGTCTGGGCCCCACTGCTGCTGGCTTTCTGGGACTTTGCAGAATGCCTTCTCATTAGGGCCTGTGCTGGTCACTTGTCTCCTGTGGTGGCCATCTCTGTGTTCTAGGCACGTTGGTGCTGGTAGCTCAACCCCCTTTCCCAGTCAGGACTGTCAGGAGCTGTGGGACAAGGCGGGCTCCCTTTGCTCCTGCCAGCATCCAGGCTTCCTGTGCAAGGTGGCCCTTCCAGCAGGGGTCCCCGGGCACACCTCCCGTGTGTATGGAGCTGCTGGGGGAAGCAGGCGCAGGGCAGAGGGCTTAGGACCCCAGAGAAGGCTTCAGCCCCACAGGCACTGTGAGTGCAGAGGCCCAGGCTGGCTGATGCCCCCTAACAAAAGTGCTGCTGCAGCGGAGAGAAGGCTGCGGTTGGAGCTGGCCCTGGGGGAAGGGAGGACAGACAGGTGACCATAACTAGGGGAGTGGGGGGAGTTCCCTCAAGGCGGAGGGCACTCCAGGTGAGCAGTGGCCACAAGTACATGGTACAGAGTGAGGGGAGCCAGGGACTCCCAGAAATGAGGGGCTCCAAATAGCCCCCTGAATTGTGCCGCCAAGCCTCAGCCACCTCTGCTCTGCCACAGCACTTGCCCTCCGCGACACGCCCACCTGGCTCCAGTCTGCTGCCCTGTCCCACCATCATGCTGGCACCCCTCTGTGGGCTGCAGCCACTGCCTTTCCCTCCCCCTCACGGCTGGTGTGGAGCAGCAACCCCCTGGGGCCTGCTGGGCCCTGTCGCACTCCTCAGTCCAACTGCCTGGGCAGAGGTGGGGCCACCAGCTGCGCTGCTGTGGGAGCTGTTGGCTTTTTCCAGTTAACTCTCTGGGCCAAGGACACCAGCAGGCATGTGTCCTGCTGTGGCTGTTGAAGGCCTGCACCCAGTGCACCCTGGCCTCTCTGTGACTTCCCAGCTGGCCCCGAGGCCAGGGCTGGAGGTTGGGACTCAAGGGGGGAGCCAGGGTCTATGCTCTGGAGTTGCCCTGAACTCTCCTGGGTTCCCTGCGGGGCCTGCAAGTGGAAAGCACCTCGCTGGACCACATCAATGTAGAGATGACCTATCTCCCAGGGTGGGACCATCTGCTGGGCTGTGTCACTCGGATATCCCTGGGATTCAGGCCTCAGCTCAGGGCCCACCCCAGGAGACGGCAACTGGAACAGGCCCAGGGGAATGTAGAGGCGAGGGTAGGGCACTAGGGGCCTGCTGTTCAGGGACTGTTGCATCTTGGGGACTCATTTGGGACTGGGGAGCAGGCTTGGCTGGCAATTTGACCAGCCCCTACACTTCTAGGATTCTGCCCTCATCTCACCAGAAATCCCTTCCAGCCATTCCCTGCCCTCGCTCTAGAGAGGATTTAGATAGACAGGGAAAGGCTAAGAGGATGCAGAGATAGCATGAGCCAAGCTGTGGCCAATGGGAATCAGTGTGGGCTGGGGACCCAGAGGTCTGCAAGCACTTGACAGGTCAGTGGGCTGGAGAGGCCCCAAATGCTGGCACCAAGGGCCAGCAGAAGGGGCCATAGTGGGTTCTTGGATAGAAGTGGAAGAAAGCATGGTAGTTGCATTACCAGGTGCCAAGGGCTCACACAACTGCAGGTAGAAGTAGAGGAATCAGACCTAGGCCCGGCTGGCCCCAGAGCTCTGCTCTTGGACATGAGCTTGGACATACACATTTGCCAAGTGTCCCCTGCACACAGACATGGTGCTTGAGGAGAGATGGAAGGAAGCTGCCCATGGCTGTGCCCTGTCAGTGGTGTCCTAGTCTCTAGGCTCCCTTTATCACCTCCAGGGCTGAGGCTGAGGTGTCAGAGACAAAGACAGGGTGGCTAGAGGAGCAACTGCCCAGGCAGGCCTGGGAGGAGACAATAGGCTGGAGGTGGGCAGACCCCAGCAGATGGAGGCTACCTGCTCAGGAATGAAAGCTGATGGTTTTGGACAGCGTGAAGTGTGCAGATCTAGCAGGGCGGGGACTATGATTCCTTCTGCAGAATTCTGTGATCCCAAACAATAGCAGTAGCAACAATCGTACAGGCTCCTCGAGCATGAGTTTTCTTGTCCTTGGTCAGACTGTGAAGTGAGGACTGCTGTTCTCTCATTTAATAACTGCTGTTCTCTCTCCAGGCACAGATTTGGAGATGAGTGACTTTTGGCAGGGTCCTAGCTTCTAAGCCCTCGTGTCCCCTACTGGGGCTCTGGGGTGCTGCCCTGCCACCTGGAGACCCATTCCTGTACCCCTGAGCCCCAGCCCAGTCACCATTCTAGGCTGCAAGGGGCACCCTGGACCCAAGGGGAATGACTCCTGGACTTCTCCAGGAGAACCGCATGGTCCAGCCTTGGATCCTGAGGCTCCTCAGCTGTGGGCAGCCCAGACTGTGGCATCACCTGGGAATGACCTTGACAGGAGAGTCTGAGATGTGGGAACTTCATCCCAGGCCAGGGGAAGCCAGGCAGCTGCGCCCCCTGCCGGTGTAAGCGGGTCGGGTGGTGCTCTGCAGAGGCTTCAGCCAGAGTGGCTGAGGCTGTGGCCACAGCACGTGGGGGCAGTGTGGGCCCAAGCCTGGGAAAGGGTGTGTTTTTAATGTGCCCAAACCTGGAAAGGATGGGTGAAGACTGTGGGGGACCTGGTTTCGCCACTCAGTCGTGGCCACGACCTGTTTCCCTGCCTCTGAGCCTCAGTTTCCTCAACAATAAGCCGCTAGGCTCCAGGCTTCTTGCATTTTCCCAGTGACCCCCAGAGTCCGACCCCTCTTCACCCTCTGTCTCCATCAGTGTCTTCCATCTGAGGACCTCTGGCCTGAGGCAGGGCCCCTGGGGCCTGGGGTCCAGGGAGCAGCCTCACCTGGTGCCCACTTGGGGCCTCCATCCTCCCTGGCCATGCGGCCAGGCCTCCAGTCTCGCCCCCTAATTGCCACCGCTCTGCGGGAAGGAGCAACTTCACCACAAATTATTTTGTTCTAAAAGAAGGACAAAAAGAAAAGAGAAGCCGGGAGGGATGGGGGTGGAGGAAGGAGGAGAAGATTGCCTGAGCCAGCTTTCTTTGCTGCTTTAACCCTTGGGCTGCCAAGCACTGGCGCACTGGCCCCCACTCTTCCCCTGTCAGATGACAGAGGCCTTATCTCCCCACAGTCTTGCTGTCACTCCACCGACCTTATCTCTCCTGCCTGTCTGTCTTTCATCAGCTGCCTCTCCCACCTCCTTATCTCCCCTCATCGCCTCCTCTCCTCTGTCGCTCCACATCCCTCTGCTTCTGCTAAGCCCAGCGGCACACTCAGTCATGGAAGCCTATTCTGTGACCTCTGGTGGCCAAGGAGCCTGTGCTTGGGGCACAGACGCCCCGTCCTGGGCTCACCTGAATGGGCACATGGACCTAGTCAGGCTTGGAGACACACACAGGGGCATGTGACGCATTTGCGCAGCACACACACAACCAAGACCCCAGCCACAAACAAAGGCACTTGCAGAAATCTCCTAAGACTCACATACGAGTGTCCAGGCTGCGTCTAGAGGCCCTAACCCCACCCCACCCCTGACACGCCAGCACGTGCACACAGATGGATGTGATGAGCCGTAACAGACACACACAGGCCATCAGATTTGTGCTGTCACATGCGCACACACACAGAGGGATGGGCAGATTCATTCCCCCTACCTGCCCCTTCTTTCCCTCTTCTGCCCACTCCCCATGTTCTGTGCCCTGAATGACAAAGTAGCACCTAGGAGTACCCAGAGCTCCCACTATAGTTTTTGCAAACGCCCTGGGGCAGCACCACACAAAGGGATATGGATGCCTGAGCCCCATGGAGGCGGCTGTGTGTGCGCATGCGTGAGAGCATCTTTGTGTTAGGATATGGGTGCATGGGGTTGCTTATTGGCTCCACCTCCTGCCTACAGCTGGCTGACACTCTGCCTGCTGCCTCCTGTCCAGCCCACCCTCCTCCCATTGCTGTTGTGAGCTAGTCAGGGGGTGCTATTCATGGCCGCTGAAAGGGGGACCCTGAGGCCCAGAGAAGGCAGTGGCAACCCCTTCACACCAACTATAGCCACCAGCCACCAACCAGCCCAAACTGGACCCTCATCCCAGATGCAAGCTGTGGAGTCCCTCTGAGTCCATGAGGGCACTGGGCCTCCATGCTCTCTCTGTGGCCAAGGCCAGGGTCAGGTGGGGGTGAGGACTATGCTGAGGTGAACTGTGCAGAGAGGGTATGCAGGGTCCATGACATGGGAATGTGGGACTAGCTGGCCTTACCCTTGGCCTCTGTTTCCTTCCAGATCTACAAGGACAACCGGAACCTATTTGAGGTACAGGAGAACGAGCCTCAGAAGTTGGTGGAGAAGGTGGCAGGGGACATCGAGAGTCTTCTGGACAGGAAGGTGCAGGCCTTGAAGGTAGGGATGCATGGCGGGGAGCATTGAGGGAGGGCCAGAAAGAGTGGTCCTGCATGGTGAAGGCCATGTCTCAGCCTTTCATCATCACATGACCCTCCTGAGCTCAGGCTGGGCCACCGTCCGTAGGGCTGTGCCCATGCAGACTGTGGGCAGCTGTGGCAAGGGCAGGGTGTATTATCTGGGGTAGACTGCATGACAGATGACCTGGAGTCTTGGGGGCCCTGTGTGGGCCTGAGGGTAGGACCCAGGCAGGCCGGAGGTTTCCTACTCCTCTGGGTCCCCAGGTCTGTTTGTGGGTGGTGCCCTCGGCAAGCACCCAGCCAGGATAGGGACTGTTGATGGCAGAGTCTCTGCCCTTGAGGTGGGCTGCAGGCTCTGGTGGGGAGGGAATGTAGAGGGGCCCTGGAAGCCCCTCAGAGAAGACCATGGTCATACAAGGCTGGGGGGTGCTCTGCCCAAGACTTTGAATGTTCCTGTGCTCCCCTCTGGGCCTCAGTCTCCCCACCTATATTCAGAGAGCATGTGCCTGTCAGCTCCATGGCACTGTGGTTCTGTGGGGTGACAGGACCTGTGGAGCTGCCCTGACAAAGCAGGCAGACCCTGATGCTCAGCCCATCCCAGGCAGGGTGGGTGAGGAGGGGTTTCTGGGGCTACAGAGTGCCCCGGGCAGGTGGCGCGTGAAGGAGCAAGAGGCATCCCAGCTGCAGGAGGGTCAGAGGAGCACCTGCAGCAGCCCCAGCCTGTGTCAAACATAAAGTCCAATGGAAAGGAACGAAGACATGAGACATGCTACAACATGGATGAACCCAAAAACATTATGCTAGGTGGAAGAAGCCAGTTACAAAAGACCACATATCATGTGATCCCATTTCTATGAAATGTCCAGATAGGCAAATCCATAGAAACGGAAAGTAGATGAGTGGTCGCCTGCGGCTGGAAGGGTAGGGGTAGGGAGGGCCTGCTAATGGGTCCTTTTTGGGGTGATGAAAATATTCTAAAATTAGATTGTGGTGATGGTCATACAACTTTGAATATACTTAAAACCACTGAATTGTGTACTTTATTTGGGTGAATTTGCTGGTGTGTGAATTATATCTCAATAAAGCAGTTTAAAAAAGTAATAAGTCCACACCAATTATGCCCAGACTAAGGCCAGGGTCCTGGCAGTTAAATCAGGGTGGCCATCCCAGCCCAGACCCCACCATATCCAGGCACCAGAAGAGTCCCAGAAGGGGACTGTAGCCCCCTTCTCTAGGAGCTCAGCCTGCTGTCCCCATAGGTTCCCCTGCCTGCCCCTGTGTGACCTGGGGTCATGGAGTAGGGGGAGGCTGCATCCTGGCGCTAGGGACGCAGAGAGATGGACCCCGAGGGCCTCCCAGCCAGTGTGGGCCCAGAGGACCCAGAGCAGGGCCCAGCCCAGCCTTGCCTGACCTTCAGGCTCTCCTGTCATAGACGTGGGGAGACGGCTGGGGGAATGAGCCGTCATGGGGAAGAGGCAGAGCCAAGCCTCCAGCGGGGACAGCAGCCCCAGTTCCGTGTGTCCTGTCCAGCCAGCGCAGTGCACCCCACTTTCTTGTCTTTCCAGGGAACCAGGCCTGTCCTGAACACCTTCTCTCTTCTCTAGTTCTCAGTCTCTTTGGCTCTCTCCGCCTCATTCCAGACCCCTCATTTATGCACTATTTCTTAGCTTTGCTGCCCCCTGCCCAGCTTACAAAATGTAGGCTGCCCAGCCCCGAACTTGTGTTGGAACTGTCTGACAAATGTGGGAGGGGGCACCCTTCAGGCCTTTGGGCCTGCTACTCCCTCAGGCCTCAGGCCTGGCCGCTGCAGCAGGGGTGCTGAGCGGTGGCAGTAACAGACACCGGCCCGCCCTCCACACTTGGAGCCCAAGACCCAGCCCCCTTGGGAACCACAGGGCTGGAGTCTCTCCCCAAGTCCCTTCCCTACAAATTATTTTCAGTGGAAGAATGAAGGGAAAAGGCACACACTGTGTGCTGGGTCTCTTACATGTCATTCTCACATCAACCCCATGAAGGAGGCCCTGCTACCCCAGTCACAGAGGGAGACACTGAGAAGCAGAGGTGCCATGCATCCGGCCAGGGCGGCAAAGTCAGGACTCGAACCCAGGTCTCTCTGCCCCTGCAGCCCCTTGACTTGCACATTATTCCCAAGGCCAGTGGACTCCTTCTGCTGTAGCACCCACGGGCTCCCGGCCAGGAGGTGCTCCTGCCATATTGCCAGAGGAGAGGGAGGACCACCCTTCCCCCTCCTTGGTCCTAGTTGTTCAAGATGAGCTTTGGTCTTAATTATGTTTTTAATTTGCTTTTAATCAACTTCTGGTCCCTTTCTCCTCTTCCACATTTGTTTGTAGCCTGAACACATATGGGGGGGGTTGAGGGCCTGGACCCCCTGCTCCCCACTCCATTGTTCCTCTCTTCCTGGACCCCATCCAGTAATCCAATTTAAATCCCTTGCTCTGGTCTGGAATTTTAATTTGGGGCTTGCAAAGAGGGAGCTGAGCAACACAGGATGGAAGTTCATTGTCTCATCTAATCAGGGACAATCAGATGTTTGTAACGAGTTTCTCCAAGCTGCAAATGGTGGTTTCTGGGGCCAAGAGTCAGGCAGCAGCAGGCCAGATCAGGGCCTTTGCAACACAGGCAACCAGCATCCTGAGTCCAGGAAACAAGCTGGGCCTTCAGCCTCAGAGACAGGGAGGGGAACCTGTCTCGGAACTTTAACTACCCAGGGGGATGGGGCCTCTGAACCAGGGCCTGCTCTCTCAGGGACTTGAGCCCCAGGGAAGTGTGTTCTTATAGCACACTGAGGGCAGAGTTGAATCCAAAGCAGTTGGACTCTCTTGTCCTCCTACCTGTTCACCAACATTCGACAATGGCCTGTGTGCCAGGCCCTGCTCCTGCCCTCACGGAACTCTCAGTCCAGTCCTGTCCCAGGCCTTAGTTTTTCCTCTGTAAAATAGGGGCATTAGCACCCCTCCTACCCCGTATCTCTGGTTTTATGACTCCAGGGGCCATCATTTATAAAGGCCCCAGTGTGGACAGTGTCCTTGAAGGGCGTGCCACCGGCAGCGCCATCCCTGGCACCCCTGCTGTGTGGCTCTGAGGAGAGGCCATGGAAGGAGGACTGCCCTGGATGAGCTGAGGGGCCGCCCCAGTGGCAGAAATTCCAGTCTTCTCCCAGGGACAAGGCCATGGGCATGGTGGCCCAGTGGGCTTGGCTCCTGGAGAGCGGGAAGCCCAGGGCTAGGGCAGCCAGGCCAGAGCAGGTTTTTGAAGGGCATCAGCATGGCGGCTGGAAGCCTGCTCTTAGGGAGGCCCTTTTGCCTCCTACCTCAAGCCAGAGGCATTGGGAGCCCTGGCTGGGAGCCAGAGCCCGGGGACCTGAGCCCTGGGCCTAGGCTCAGCCCCTCCTGCTATGCCTGTGCTCTCCGTGCTCCCCCTCAGGTTCCTGCCGTTGTCCCAAGGCTGAGACCTTTCCAGATGTTGAGGCTTTGCACCTTTGTCTGAGTGCCATGTTTTAAAACTCTGGTTGCACATTGGAATTGCCTAAGGAGCAATTCTAAAAATCTTTCTAAAAATCTTACAATCATGATTCCCAGCCCTCGAATCAGATTCTCCAGGGGTGTGACGGGGCATCAGCATTTTTCAGTGCCCTCCAGATGATTCTGTGTAGATTCAGAGCTCAGCACTTTCCCCCTAAAATGGTAGAAATGATTCCTTCCCATGATCACTGGCCTCTTTCTGAGTGCCCACCAAGTGCCAGACCTAAGATGAACCTGAACACTCTGTACTGCTCCAAATTCTCACCACAAGTCACTGGGTTACTTCTCTTGTCCCCGTTTTACATTTAAAGAAACTCGGCCTCAGAGAGGTTAAGCCACTTGCCCCAGGTCTCACAGCAAACTAGGCTTTGGATCCAGGCAGAGCCACAGACTGCCCCCCAACACTGCCTTCCTCTGTGCTACCATTAGTGGCATTTGCTGTCTACCGGGGGACTGGGCTGAGGGAAGAGCAGATGGGGCACTGGTCTCCCCTGGCAGGGGCTGGCTCTGTGATGACCTAATGACCTTGTGCAAGTCCATTTCTTCCTTGGGCAGTGGAGACAAGATACTGAGCACCCCTTCCACGCCCCCGCAAGACTCAGATGGATGGGTCGGGGGAGGTGCAGCGTTAGCCTTGGTTTTGGGGGCTCCAGTGGGCAGTGTTCCCACCACCAGTGGCCTCTCTGGGGAATGGGCATCATTTAAAGAGTAAAATTAAAAATGCTTCTGCACACAGCCGCCCTGCTTTGCCGTTAATGGCCACTTAACCCAATTAAACTGATGTATTGTTGGCGGTGTGGCCAGGTCTGTTCAGGAACTGTGTGCTTCAGGCTGGGTGTTCAGAGGGGCAGGAGGTAGGAGCCAGGAGCTGGGGGCTGGGGGGGAAGCAGACCACTCCCTCTGACAGGAGGGAGTACATCCCACCTAGCTCCCACTTACTGCTTTCTACAGCTTTGTCTAAAGCAGGGTTTCTCCGCCTCAGCACTGTTGACATAGTAAGCTGGATAATTCTTTGTTGTGGGGGCTGCTTTGTGCACTGTGGGGTGTTTAGCAGCGCCCTTGCCCTCCACCCACTAGATGCCAGTAGTACACCACTCTTCCAGTTGTAACAACCAAAAGTGTTTCAAATATTGCCAAATGTTGCCTGGGGGCAAAGCTGCCCCAGTTCAGAACCACTGGTCCAATGGGACAGACCCTGGTGACCATTCAAGCATGGTGAATAGAACTTCCACAAGCAGGGGGACATTGGGGACCTCCGAGAGGAGCAGGCAGAATGAGGCAGCTCCAGCAAGACAAAGATCCCTTCGGTCCCAAGGGGTAATCAGGAAGGCTGCTTGAGGAGGCAGTGAGGATTTAGAGGGCAAGTTTGGCATCCAGGCAGCTGGAGGCCAGTTCAGCTGTGCCCACTGTTGCATTCATTGATGGGGGTTAGACAAAC